TGTGGAATACAAGTTTACAATTGTTTGATATATAAATTCGAGTTAATAGGAGCTTCGCTTTTAGCCCTGGCCAAATCTATTTAGTATATACTAAAACAGTGGATAGTGTTTTTTGCGTGCTCTGATTGGCTACTCAATCAGTGAATATCCTGCACTATTCACTGATTCACCTGCAGTTCCTTCGAGCGAGCGACGCCAAACTCGCGTAGATTGCAAGCAAAATGCTTTCCCGGTTTGCTGCCGTAACAAACTAAGAAATTTCACAACTAATCAAGCAAGCTATTTCCGAAATACATGAAGAAGGTGACGAAGTTCGGTTTGGAAGTTTTAACAGGTAAAGCTTTGTCTTTTTGACTTGAATAGTTATCGATAAAACCGGTGAAAACGTTTTTTGTTTACAAATGCAAATTAAACTTAAGTCTTGCGTTACTTTATTTAGTTGACTTGTTCATAAATAAGCTTAAAACTAAATTTAATAATCTTTTTTACACAATTATTTTAAATACAAACCGAATTCACAACTCCTTTTGAAGAAACTTCCCCGTAAGAGCTAAAAAAACGCCTTCAAAAGTTTTATTTGTCGCTAAGAAAAAGTGACGACCGCGTCCATTCGGTCATCGCGTGCCAAAATTGTAATTGTTGGCAACAGTAAATGAGTTAAAAATCATCATTTTGTGTTCAATTATCTCACTGTTTTAGTATATACTAAAACAATTATTCACCTCAGTGTCTGTGGCTAGTATTGGATATTTACCTCGCCGCTTCGCGGCCTCGGTAAATATGTAATACTAGCCACCTCCACTTCGGTAAATAATTGTTATATATTATTCTTACTCGTACGTTTTCTTAAAACGGCTCCGAGTTTCATCCATTGTGAGGAAAAGGCGGCAAAGAGAGGAGTATTCATGTCAATCATGATCCCAAGTTGCAACGCTCACGCATATATGAAATTCTCGAAGAAAAATTTTGCGCAGTACGCAAAAAATGCGACAGTAAAAAATATAATAACAATAAATAAATATAATGTGGGGATGAAAACTCTTGATGGAGCAATTATTGTTAGTGACACTCTCAAGACATAAACGTCTCCAATTTTTATTTCTTAGGTTCGGGTTCCGTTTCCGTTTCTGTTTCCGTTTCCGGCTCCGCTTCTGGTTCTGGATTCCAGATTCCAGTTGTTCCATACGCCCGTTTCCTGGTCCCCCCCTCATGTTGCTGTTGGATAGTGAGGGTATTACTCTAAGACTTGATAGTGCTAAGCGCTAGCAAAAGCCATTTAGAGGGTCTCATTAAGGCACCACCTAAACTTCTTGTAGCCAGGATCATCATTGGTATGACTTTTTGGTTTGTTTGTCTTTAATTTTTT